CTATTTAAATTAAGGCTCGTTTAATGTCCTACGCACTCCTATATGCCTCTGAGTGACACTACCGCCGATACTAATCCGAGTAGTCTTGCCTGCGCAGTTACATTCACACCATCTCACTCGCCCTAACCCGGATCGAGCTTAGAGAAGTATCAGCACCCAACCCCGTGTAACAATCGTGCTATAATATTTACATCAAGAGGTATTAAATACAGTACGCACTTCTATATACTTCCAAGTAGTTCTACTCCTAGTACTAATCTAAGTAGTTTTACCTACGCTATTATAGCTAAAAATAGTATTTAAATTATAGTATAACTATCTATTAAGATTATATCTAAGTCTAAATAGATCTAAAAGTAATCTAGATTCTTATACTATTATACATAATACTTACTTGTAAGCAATTCACCTTATATCGTAACAGCCCCCTCTAAAACCGATTGTAATATGCAGCGAAAGCTGCAATAATAAGATTTCACCTACAGGGGGAAGGTCATTGACTTTTACACGGATTTTAGACTTTATTGAAGATATCATGCTTACGTGTGCTGCTTATTACTAGGATTTCCCGGCTGATTAGACTTCATATCTCACCACGGCTGTCCCGCTTTAGCTGTTACTTAATTGGCTATACTATGACCAGCATCTACAAAACAACACGCTTAAGACAATCTAGTCCTGATTAGCGAGTAACCTTTGCTCTGTAAAGGTTTGGAGCTCGGTTGATTAAACTTTGCTTCAGCGTGTTGAACGCGTATCTTTAGGAAATACGAAGGTCATAGGCATCGGTTTTATCACTCCGACGTTACAAAGTTTTTGCTCGCGATTAGCTAACACTCCTAGACGGAGTATCCCTTGTAGACTCGCGGGTAATTTTCCACCCATGCGTTAGTTTCTAAACTCTTCGGCAGATGCGATCTATAATATATGTCCAGTAAGATTCTGAAGCTGTTAACTATATAAAGTGTAAGTAATTTCCGCACATTATCTTCTACTTACAACAAGCTCTATTCTTAAGAGTGTTTTGAAGCTTTCAAATCTTTTGCTAACGCTTATAACGACCTAGTCTTTTGATTAAGTAACTCTTGTTTATCTCTATCTAAATTCGCTCAAAAACTAGTAACGGCTAGCAAAATGCAACTTCTTAGCTGGGCTATACCGTTCATTCTACTTATCGGCCAAGCCGCTAGCGTAGACCGTAATCATAGACTTACCCACAAATGTGACGGTATTGGTATGACTAACCATGTAGTAAGTGTAGTCTCTCACGGGCTCCGTGCGTACTGTTTTCTCGCAATAATATACTAATTACTACTGAAATAGTGTACTATTAACACCTTTAGCCATATTGAATTTAGAGCTAATAATAGCTATGACGTCAGTTCTCACCTGGTGCGGCGAGAGCGGGCTGTGAAACGTTCAAAAATTATGCTCACGAATGCTGCGTTGCCCACAACCTCATCATTTTGCAGTGCGATTGGCTCGGTAAGTGTACAGCCAGAGAAAACTCTCCAGAATCTAGTAGAGAGTACCGTCTCATTAATATACTTCTAGGCTGCGCATCAGCGTTCGCTGGCGCTGTTGCAGCCTGTGCTGCTTGTTTTGCTGCGCCAGAGATAGAGCCCGCTGTAATAGCAGCGTGTATAGCGGCCGCGGGAACTGCTACGGATGTATGTGCAGATTGCGGGCTTTAAGGAGATACTCAAGGGGCCACACCAGGGCTAGGGCTGAGGCTTGTACATGATGCTATTGAAATGGGTAGGTCAAGCATAAGCCGATAAGCGGCAGGGGGGCGAAGCCTTAGGGTTAGGATTAGGGTTATAAAAGAGAGATGAATTCAACTAAACTTGTTTCTACAGCGAAAAAGTGTCTAGATGCCTGCGAAAGCACCTTTCGTCTTCGGATGCAGAAAAAGAAGACTCGTTACGACGAGAATAAGAGATATATATACATAGACAGTTGGAAAATTCTATACTATACCTCCTTCTTAAGCGCTAACTTGCGACGTTACCTAATCCTGTGGGATCTGCATCGTTTGTTAGCACATTCACTCTTTGCAGATAGAGAGGGGGGTGAGGCAGAACTTAATAGTTAAAATAAGAGTAAAGGTTACTAAATATAGAATAGTTTTTTTAAATTTTTTACAACTAGATCTATCAAGTAGAATTAGAGGATTCTAACGCACCTCTTGTTATCTTAATCTCTCTTGTAGTTATCATATTATAAAGAAAAGAGAGAGATATATAAAACTTTCTATAAGAAGAGAAAAGATACTAATTAAACATCTAAGTTTGCTTCATAGTAATCTAAAATAAAAGATCTACTTATATAGACTTAAGATAGAGAGACATCTTTACACACTTTACTCTTGATTACTATAATTTTCTATTCTATTGTGTAACGGGCTGAACGCCCTTTTGGATAGCTCCTCGATGGAATCTCGGTTCGAGCTGCGCGCTCAGACAATGCGCTCAGATACTCCGGCATAACCTTTCTCCGACAAGTAAATAAACACCACGTAAGCAGAGTAGATAGCTCCTTATCGAATATAACCTCTTATATACCTCGCGATTGCTCCCCGGAGCGCAGCCCCTTATATATTGTCTCTAGTTCTTAAACTTATCATTATAATTATAAACTTTATATACTTTAATAGATCTAATCGATGTTTTTTCTTATTTAAATAAGTACTATAATAAGTATAGTATTATAAGATAATCTTATAAACGTCTATACAAGCTAGAGTGTAGCTAAATATAAATTACTTCTTAGTTTGAGTAATTTCTAAGCTTATAAGATAATAATACTACTTTATACTATATATAAAGTAATTATTAACTATATCTACTAAAAATTATAGAATAATCTATAGTCAGTTAATTATATTAGTATTAACTATATTATTAACTATTTAATATCTCTTAATAGTTATTTCAAAATCTGCTTATAGGTTAGCGTGGTAAGTTGGGTCTCCACCTCGGTGTAACGGCTCAGCACCCGTTCCTGTAACGGCGCAGGCAAGACTACTCGGATTAGTATCGGCGGTAGTGTCACTCAGAGGCATAT